TTTGATACTGATAGGTTGAATTGTTGAAGTATAACTTACAATTAAGAAACTAATTTAACAGTACTACTTGTCTCAAGAACTCAAATCTAAAAATATTAACAAATATGCTTGAAAAAGCAAACCCAAGTTTGTTTTCTTTAATCTTCAGGCAGCAAAAATTAAAAATGATGGAGCTCATGGTTCTTTTGTTATTCCTTGTTTTTCTTAGGTTGAAGCCTATGTTTCTGTTATTAATTTTAGTGATACTTCCCAGATATACATCCCATGTATATATGCGTATATGACTCTGTGTGTGTTAAAAATTACATTAATGTTGCAGATTAGCAATGCAGAATATACTGAGTTGGCTTTTGAGGGTATTATTGAAGCTGTAGATGCAGCACGAGCCAACAAACAACAAGTGGTTGAAACAGAGCACTTAACGAAAGCCCTTCTGGAGCAGAAGGATGGGTTAGCTCGGAGAATATTCACTAAGGCTGGGCTGGATAACACAACGGTTTTGCAAGCCACAGATACATTTATATCTCAACAGCCTAAGGTATGAGCTAGAATGTCAATTGGACCTTTTTATTATCTATTACTAGTAATAAAGAATTGTTGCCAAATGTCTCGAGTAAGTAATTACACTTTTGCTTGCAGGTGACCGGTGATACTAGTGGTCCCATTATTGGGCCCCATCTCTACTCTCTCTTAGAAAATGCAAAGAAACATAAGAAAGAAATGGGTGATTCCTATGTCTCCGTGGAGCACTTGCTGTTAGCTTTATATTCAGACACTAGATTTGGGCAGCAACTATTTAGAAATCTGCAACTTAGTGAGAAATCTTTAAAGGAAGCTATTGAAGCTGTGCGTGGAAATCAGAGAGTAACTGACCAAAGTATGTGCATAATAGCATGCTCTTGTGAACAGGATATTCCTTTTAGACTTTCATCTTTGAGTATAGCATAAATTTGAGTTTGAACTCTTCCTCATTGGATGTTATTGATTTTAATTCTGTACAGATCCAGAGGGGAAGTTCCAGGCACTTGAGAAATATGGTATTGACTTGACTGAACTTGCCAGGCGTGGAAAACTTGACCCAGTGATAGGACGAGATGATGAAATACGGCGCTGCATTCAAATTTTGAGTCGGAGGACCAAAAACAATCCTGTTATTATCGGTGAGCCAGGAGTTGGAAAAACTGCAATTGCTGAGGGGTATGATCTATATAGTTTCCTGTGTTTCTCATCTGTGTATGTTTATTTTTTATTTGTTTGGCATGTGCTTAGTTGAATGTGCAGTTTTTTGAATCTAATGTTAGATTGAGTAACATATATCTGATTTTTTTTATTTTTATTTTTATTTTTTTTACAGTTGATTATAAATTATAAAATTTTTGTTGATTTTATTGCATGAACTATTATTGTCAAGATTGAGTAATGAGATTTTGTTTCTTTGGCATTAGGTTGGCACAACGGATAGTCCGTGGAGATGTTCCAGAACCTCTCATGAATCGGAAGGTAATAACTGCTCCAAAATTGAGATCTGGTTTAAGTTGTATATTGTCATTCAATATATTTTGAATGTGAACCTTAATTGCCAATTTCATTTTATGTTACATATTATATTAGTTTCAAGGGTAATGTTCATTGCGTGCAAGTATTTTATAGTCTTTTTTGTTCTGTTCAGTTGATATCATTGGATATAGGTGCACTGCTTGCTGGCTCCAAGTTTCGTGGAGAATTTGAGGAAAGATTAAAAGCTGTATTAAAGGAAGTAACTGCTTCAAATGGGCAGATTATACTATTTATCGATGAGATCCACACTGTTGTTGGTGCAGGTTGAATTTATTCCATTTATTCCTTATGGTTTTCTTTTTCTGTTATTCCCTAGGGTTTTTTTTTCCCTATCCAGAGTATTTGTTCTTGCCTATTTCTTTAATTTGAAATTGTTGAAGTTCCTAAAAGACTGTTGCTTTCTTTATTATCTTTTCAAATTCGTATTTTTACAAATTAGACCAATGCATGCGGCAACTTTGAAAGGTATTTATATGCTTGCAATTTACTTTCAGCATGCTATTTGGTTAAATTGCCTTAGATTAAACAAAAATTTGTTTTCATTTTCATTTTGCAGTATAAAATAATTTTTTATTATGCTTCTCTATTATACTTTATGAATAGTTTTGCAGTATAAAATAATTTTTTTAATTATGCTTCTCTGTTATATTTTATGAATAGGTGCTACTGGTGGGGCATTGGATGCTGGAAATTTATTGAAACCAATGCTTGGTCGTGGTGAGCTGAGATGCATTGGAGCAACTACACTAAATGAATATAGAAAGTACGTCGAGAAGGATCCTGCTTTAGAACGTAGGTTTCAACAAGTATATTGTGGACAACCATCTGTGGAAGATACAATTTCCATTCTTCGTGGGTTGCGAGAACGGTATGAGCTGCATCATGGGGTCAAAATATCTGATAGTGCTCTTGTATCAGCAGCAGTTCTTGCAGATAGATACATTACTGAGCGTTTTTTACCTGACAAAGGTATGCGATTACCTTCGGGCTGCAAATATTGAAAAGTTTCTGTGAACATTTTATCTTTTTGAATATATATATATATATATATATATATATATATATATATGTTGAGTCATTTGCTGATGGGGAAAATTTTTCTAATTTCATATTATTATATTTCAGCTTTGTTAACTTATTCATTTATCATTTTATACTTTATTTCACATCCTTTATATTGACTTGTGCTTTAAAAACTTTTGAAACTTTTTTTTTTTTCCAGCCATTGACCTTGTTGATGAAGCTGCGGCAAAACTGAAAATGGAGATTACTTCAAAGCCTACCGAGTTAGATGAGTTAGATAGGACAATACTTAAGCTAGAGATGGAGAAACTCTCTCTTAAAAATGATACTGATAAAGCATCTAAAGAAAGGCTGAGCAAGCTGGAAAGTGACCTATCATCACTTAAACAAAAGCAAAAAGAGCTAACTGAACAGTGGGAGCATGAAAAGAACCTGATGACTCGTATTCGATCAATCAAGGAGGAGGTGATTGATGCATTATATTTTTCTCTATGTATTGTTCTCATTTATGCTGAATCTTTAGTCTTGAACCTTGTTCATTATTTCCTTTATTCAGATTGACAGGGTCAACCTAGAGATGGAAGCTGCAGAGCGTGAATATGATCTTAATCGTGCTGCTGAACTTAAGTATGGAACACTGACATCTCTTCAGCGTCAGCTTGAAGAAGCTGAGAAAAATCTTGATGAGTATCAGAAATCTGGAAGCTCTTTACTCCAGGAAGAAGTAACAGATGTTGACATTGCTGAAATTGTTAGCAAATGGACTGGTATTCCATTGTCAAACCTTCAGCAGACAGAAAGAGATAAGCTTGTTTTGTTAGAGAATGTACTTCACGGCAGGGTTGTTGGCCAAGATATTGCAGTGAAATCTGTAGCTGATGCAATTAGGCGTTCAAGAGCTGGACTATCAGACCCAAATAAGCCCATCGCGAGTTTCATGTTCATGGGCCCCACAGGTGTTGGTAAAACTGAGCTTGCAAAGGCTCTTGCTGCATACCTTTTCAACACAGAAAATGCTCTCGTGCGGATTGATATGAGTGAGTATATGGAAAAGCATGCGGTTTCACGTTTAGTTGGTGCTCCACCAGGTTATGTTGGTTACGAAGAGGGTGGGCAACTTACAGAAGTGGTCCGACGGAGGCCTTATTCAGTGGTGCTCTTTGATGAAATTGAGAAGGCACATCATGATGTCTTCAACATTTTGTTGCAACTGTTGGATGATGGAAGAATAACAGACTCCCAAGGAAGGACCGTTAGCTTTACAAACACTGTTGTGATAATGACCTCAAACATTGGTTCACAGCATATTCTTGAAACTCTTCAAAGCTCGCAAGGTAACAAAGAGGCAGTTTATGAAGTCATGAAAAAACAAGTAGTTGACTTAGCAAGACAGAATTTTCGGCCCGAGTTCATGAATCGAATTGATGAGTACATTGTTTTCCAACCTTTGGACATGGAGCACGTCAGCCAAATTGTTGAAATCCAGGTATGTAGTAGCTTTTCATTAGATATACACCATTTCTTGTTATGTCTTCCTTTTAAAATAAGCTGTCCATATTAAGACCTCCCATTATGGGACATCAGACATGCTGCTTTTTCCAATATTATTGATATAATGAGACAATACTTCGAAGTTTTTAATGCCGGTTTCTGGTTCACTCAGTCCATAATCCTAGTCTACTTGGGTGTTTATGGATTTTATATTTTGTCTTAATCTTGTTAATGCTAATTCATCTTAAATCTCCTCAACCAGCACATTTATTTTTAAGTTTCTATTTACTTGTGACGTTTTTCTCCCATAATACCATATTATAATTGGGGTACTCATAGGCCTCTGAAGAATGTATCATTCTTTATTTTCTCAGTTTGTCTTCAGTAGGTGTACTTGCTCATTTGCTTCTAGTCATTTTTAGTATCATCCTCTACTGTGTTCTCATATGAGGTTAGCGATATCAAAATGGCATGACTTTTGACGGTATGTTTCTTGATGGCATCATATTGGAATCAAATAATACATATTTGTTGTGAATGCAGATGAACCGCCTAAAAGCGCGTCTCAAACATAAGAAAATTGACCTTCAGTACACAGATGAAGCTGTCAGTTTTCTAGCTACTATGGGTTTTGACCCAAACTTTGGAGCCCGGCCAGTGAAGCGGGTAATTCAACAGATGGTTGAGAACGAAGTTGCATTGGGAGTTTTGAAGGGAGATTTTAAGGAGGATGAGTCGATCCTAGTTGAGGTTGATATATCCCCAAATGCCCAAAGCAGCAGATTGATCATCAAGAAAATAGAAAATGGTTCTGCAATGGATGCCATGGTTGCTAATGATTGATACAACTACTTGAAAAGATGTACATAAATAATAATCAGGACATTTTGGTTTCTTGTCTACTTCTATATATGGTTGGATTATCACGATTTTGCCTTGATCTAATTTACATTGAGTTATAGGTTCTTACAAATTCATCTTACCGAGTTTATTATATCCATGATCTTTATAGGCAAATTGGATAGTTGGCTTTCATAGACTATTGTGATGAATTTTATGTGGAAAAATGACTGGATGTTGATTTTATATTTTTAATGCTAAGTTTTTAGAAGAGATTATACCAGTTGAGATTACTTGACCATTGTGATATTTTTGTAAAAGTCTCTTCATTAGTTTTTTGTTTGATTTAGTTTTTAATTACGAAAATGGTACCTAAAATAATTTTCTATTAGATTTTACGTTAAATTAGTGTTTGACATAAGGGTTAGGGTTGCAAAAATTTCGTATAAGCACTGATTAATCGGCGCATATGCGTTAGGTGCTGCTAGACAGGTGCTGCGAGTTGTCTAGCGTATCATCATAATTAGTGATTTAAGTGGCCGACTAAATCACCTAGGTCTTTTAGGTGCCTCTTAGTTATTGTTCTCTTCTTTATTTTTAAATGAGTTATTTCACTCAAAATGACACCGTTTTGAATAAAATAATCTTAAATTGTTCAAACTTTACATGGCTTTTAAGTTAATATTTAATATTTTAATATTTACTATTAAAGTGTAGCATAATTTATAATTATCAAGTTCTAAAAAATTAAATAATTTTAAATAATTTTTTAAAAAATAAAAAATACACGAGCGCTTAAGCGCTCCCGAATGTTCGAGGAGCGCCTAATGATTTTTTTTTAACCATGCATAGGGGTAATGTTATTATTTTAGTCGGTTGGCGCCTATTATACTTTCCACAAAGGTTTGACAAAAGCTTTATTGGTTAAGGTAGTAGTGAATTAATGCCATATGGGGTCTTCCGAATATGGTGGTTTTGCCACGTTTAGTTTTAAAATTTTAAATTGATCACTCGTGGTCCAAGTTAACCACCCATGGTCTTTTAATTTTTGAAATTTAACCAACTACGATCCTCTAGAAGGACCATGAGTGGCTAAAATTTGATAGTTGAAGGACCATAGGTAATTAACTTAGCTCATGGATGGTAAAAATTTAAAAATTGAAGGACCAAAAGTGGTCAATTTAAAAGTTTAGGACCAAATGTTGCAAAACTCATATACTCGGAGGACTTCAAGTGGTATTAACTCAAGTAGTAGTAGTAGATTAGGTTTTAAAAGGTTTGAGAACACCTAAGATCATAACTTAAACCAACTTTGTCTTTTGAGAGTTTTTGCTATTGGGTAATAAGATTGAAAAATCCCAAAATAATAATTCTACGGAAAGATTATTATTATATGGGAAAAACAGAAAAAAATATAGGGAAGGAAAAGGTGGAAAGATCTTAGTAAGGGTTAGCACGAGTTGAACAGATTGTTCTTTTCTTTAAAACCTTATTTGCTACCTCCCACAAGTGCTAGGAGCGTTATAGCCTAGGTTTCCCAGGATAAAACGTGCTACGATTCTTTGTTTAAGCACCTAAACAAAGAACCCGACAAACAAAGCAAGGCAAGAACACAGTTTTGGCTAAAGAAGAGAGTAGAAGCAGAGTTTTGAGTAGCTAAAGCTTACTAGAATTCCTTTGGTTTTGTACTGTGTAAAATGCTAATGATCTACCTTTCTTTATATAGGGATGTTGGAGTGATAGCATTCAACATGGCCATTAAATTGGTATTAAAATAGTATTAATTCCGTAACAGATGAGTTTAATCTGCACTCTTTATATAGGGATGTTGGAGTGATAGCATTCAACATGGCCATTAAAATAGTATTAATTCCGTAACAGATGAGTTTAATCTGCACAACAGGCTGAACTTTCGGGTTTCAGGCCGGCACAGAGTGCACCTCTCGTGTTCACCGTCTGTAGCACGAGAGTGGTGCTCTCGGTTTCGGCCGAACCAAGACGACAATCGTGCCGGCGCACGCGATTGGAATTTGATTTGCAACCCACCCACACCCCCCCGCGCGCGCGCGCGCGAGAGAGAGAGAGCATCTATGCTATACAATTCTACAAGTTTCAAAAGAGCTCTTGTATATAGGGGGGGCAAATCCTCTTTCCAAACCAATGTGGGACAAAGCTCACTTTTCCCTTCATTTTCCAACTCAGATGGGTCTACTTTGAGAATCAATATCTCATTCACCCATTATCCGTTTTGAGCGTACAATATATCAATCTCTTCGTCTCACTACGAAGAACCCTAATCCACTTTGACCCGACCCAAATCGGAAGTGGACCCCACTGATAATTGTACCACAAAACAACCACTTAATATGCCATTTTATGTCATTTTAAGCTATTTTTTCCAACAATCCCCCACATGAATGAAAATTGATTTTCGGGGTATTTTGAAATCGGAAACAAATGTGTTCAACGGTTGATCCCTGCATAGGATAGGTAGGGTCACACCCTTTGAACCTTCCCTCGTGAAGATACATTTACTTTACTGGTTGTACGGTAGAACGCGATGTCTTTGAACCGACTGCCGTTTGTGTAGACTAATGACATATCTCACACAGGAACCTCCCAATCATGCTTTGTTCTCATGATTGTGCCCATTTTGGTCGTGGGTCATCATTCCTGGTTCTGCAAGAGTTTGTGAAGAATTGTGCCCATCAATTCTCCTTTGAAGCGACCCTCACTTCTCTCTCACATAGGTTATTCTTTTCCGAGTATCCCGCATACTCACACATGTCAACCGACATTCGAATCACTAAAGCATTTAACATGCTAACCTTGTGCGGGAACCACTGTTTCTAACAAGGAGTGGTAGGGAATCCGAGACCCTCACAGTGACACGCACCGTTTCATAATTTAGTTGTCCCATTGAACTTAGGTGCCAGCTAGGTTGGGTGTCCACTATAGAACTTTATACCAAGGGCTTTAGACCCATTCCTCGTCTCAACTTCTCCACAGCTACTCTACATAACCCTTTGGTTAGCGGATCCGCTATATTGTCTTTTGACTTTACGTAGTCAATCGAGACAACACTAGTTGTAAGAAGTTGTTTAATGGTATTATGTCTACGACGCACATGTCTAGACTTACCATTATACATATGATTCTGTACTCTTCTAATTGCGGCTTGACTATCGCAATGCACACACATTGGAGGTACAGGTCTTTCCCAATTAGGAATATCCTCTAAAAGATGGCGTAGCCATTCAGCCTCTTCACAACATTTGTCCAAGGCTATCAGCTCAGATTCCATCGTGGATCTAGCTATCACGGTTTGTTTAGAGGATTTCCATGCAACGGCTGCACCGGCTAGTGTAAACACATAGCCACTCGTGGACTTGGAGTCCTTAATGTCAAATATCCAGCTAGTGTCGCTATACCCTTCAAGTACAGCAGGATATCTCCCATAGTGCAGTCCAAGGTCTCGAGTATACCTTAAGTATCTCAGAACCTTCACTATTGCCGTCTAGTGCATGGCACCGGGGTTACTCGTATATCTACTGAGTTTACTAACTGCAAAGGCAATATCTGGCCTAGTACAGCTCATAAGATACATCAAACTACCAATAACCCGAGCATATTCTACTTGAGAAATACACTCACCGTGGTTCTTAGTTAGATGAACGCTTCGATCTAATGGCGTCCTAGTCTTTTGATGATTATCCTTGTTAAATTTTTCAAGGATTTTATCAATATAATGTGATTGGCTCAACACAAGAACATCAGGTCTTCTAATGATTCTAATCCCGAGGATTAAATCAGCCAAACCTATATCCTTCATGTCAAATCTCGCATTTAACATGTTTTTGGTAGACTTGATCATCCGATCGTTACTACCAACGATGAGCATATCATCTACGTATAAACAAAGAATGACATAGTCGTCTATCGTTTCCTTAACGTAGACACATTTGTCACTTTCGTTTATTTTAAACCCATTAGTTAACATCGCATGGTCAAACTTCTCGTGCCACTGCTTAGGCACTTGTTTTAAACCATGTAGCGATTTAACCAACTTACACACTTTCCTTTCTTGGCCCGGAACCACGAACCCTTCGGGTTGTTCAATATAGATTTCCTCATGTAATTCGCCATTTAGGAAAGCAGTTTTAACGTCGATTTGATGAACTTCCAAATTCCGCAACGCGGCTATGGCAAGTATCATTCTAATGGAGTTTATTCTCGTCACGGGAGAATACGTGTCATAGTAATCAAGGCCCTCACGTTGCCTGTAACCCTTGATTACAAGCTTAGCCTTATACTTCTCGATGGAACCATCGGGTTTCATCTTCCTTTTAAAGACCCACTTGGATCCTAAGGGTTTACTACCTGGAGGAAGATCAACAAGTTCCCAAGTGTGATTCTATAAGATAGAATCTACTTTTCACTTTTAATAGCCTCTTTCCACATTGGTCCTTCTGTAGAAGTCACGGCTTCTACATACGTTCGAGGCTCGTTTTCTATCAAACAGGTTAGAAAATCGGGTTCATTTTCTAATAAACAGGTTAGAGTACTCTAATCGTGCTCCAACAAGTAAGTTAAAAATCAGGACCAAATGATTTTTCAACTCTCGTCCGCTTACTGCATCTCGGCTCGAGCTCAGGTTCTCTCTCGGATTCCCCACTATCATTATCCATAGTTTCGTCAAACGTTCGTTTTGACGTACTTGGTCCCTCGTTGGACCTACAAGGAAATGCATTTTCAAAGAAAGATGCATTCCTTGATTCTATTATCGTGTTCTTATGTACGTCCGGATTAAGGGATTCGTGTACTAAGAACCGATAAGCACTACTATCATGTGCATAGCCAATAAAGATACAGTCCACCGTCTTAGGACCTATCTTTACTTTCTTAGGTGTTGGCACCAAAACTTTGGCAAGACACCCCACACTTTCAGGTACTGGTAGGAAGGTTTCCTACCGTTCCACAGCTCATAAGCAGTCTTATCAAACTTCTTGTGGGGTACCTTATTTAAAAGGTAATTACTTGTCAAAATCACCTCACCCTACGCATCTTGAGGTAGGCCCGAACTTATAAG